ATCTTCTGGTTCTCTTGATTAGATTACATTTAATTTAGCTCTAGTTAGAAGATACTCAGAGGACAAGATTTCATGAAATTAAATGACTACTTGTTTTCACATTATAAAGCTTCATATTGAGGGAATGTCCTTAGCAGAGAGGAAGAACAATAGGCCTTCTATGAACAACATGGGCATTCATGCAGTAAGGTTTGGGTTGCTCGGAGTTGTTGTTATTGTTGTTGTTGTTGTTTTGGACCCAATATCTAACTTCATTGGTAAAGGGAATTCAGTGGAGAAAGTCAGTTCACTCATACAGATCAGCACTGGTTCTGCACAACTTAGAATCTTAGGCAGTTACCCTGTGAAATTAAATAATTTATGCAATATCACAAAGTCAAAAGGGATCAAAGGCAGGACTGGCATCCAGGTCTTCCTGACACCAAACCCAACCCTCTGCCTACTAGGACAACACTCTGGTGGCTCCTACTACTACTACTTACTACTACGACTACTACCACCACTACTTCTGCCTCTTTGCAGTAAGGTTGGTCTGTTCATGAACAAATGGCAGAAAAAATTCAGACCATAGAATCTTACTTTGGTGACAAGGAAGATCAAAATAATCAATCAGAAAAAAAAAAAGTTGAATCTCCTACTTCCAAAGCCTCCAAAAAAATGTGAATTGGTCTCAAGCCATGGAAGAGCTCAAAAAAGATTTTGACCATCAAGTAAGAGAAGTAAAGGAAAAATTGGGAAGAGAAATGAGCGATGCAAGAAAATCATGAAAAATGAGTCAACAGCTTGCTAAAGGAAACCCCAAAAAATACTGAAGAAAATAACACCTTAAAAATAGACTAGACCAAATGGCAAAATAGGTCCAAAAAGCCAATGAGGAGAAGAATGCAAATGGAAAAGGAGGTCAAAAAGTTTGCTGAAGAAAATAGGAGCCATATCAGAGGTGCTATAGAAGAAAATCCTGAATTGGATAGAAAGTTACTGGATAATCTCTAAGGTATCTCCCAATTCTAAGATTCCCTGAATGGTCCTGAGCCTGATTTGTTCTATTTATCCTGGGAAAGTTAACAACTGTTGTTACGTGTAGGATACTCTACCTGTGAGGAGGCATTGTGATGTAGTAGAAAGAATATTGGGGGCAGCTAGGTAGCACAGTGGATAGTGTGCCGGCCCTGGGATCAGGAAGACTCATCTTCCTGAATTTAAATCTGGCCTCAGATACTTACAATCTGTGTAACCCTGAGCAAGTCACTTAACCCTGTTTGTCCTCATCTGTAAAATGAGCTGGAGAAGAAAATAGCAAACTACTCCAAGTATCTTTGCCAAGAAAACTCAAATGGGGACACAAAGAGTCACAACTGAAATGAATTAACAGCAAAAATAGTCCCTTCCAACTCCACATCTACTTCTATGACTGTTTTACATCTATTTAGCTCACCATGTTGTCTTTAGGATTGATGTATTAATTTGTACATTTTTTTCAGTTTGTGACACAAGGGCTTTATAAATACTAAAAATATTGTAATGATGACAGACAAGTAATGTGATCTCTTCTTTCTATAAAGTGATCAATTAACTTTCAAACTTCAGTTCAAATCAAGTAATATATTTGCTCTTCTTTTAGGATTCTTAGATATATTCCTCTTCAAGGTAAATAACAAAAGGCAAAATGCCTTTGTAAAGTTAATAGAGCAGGAAAATAGGAAATAAGTGTTCAATGTGCAGTTTCCTCTTAAGTTATCCAGAAAGGTAAAAGGCAATAATAGTTAAAGCTAAGAATGCCTCTCTCTTCCCAGGAAAGAAAATGTGTATGTATGCACACACACACACACACACACACACACACACACACATATATGTGTGTGTGTGTGTGTATACATGAATATATGTATATGTGTATGTGTGCACAGACACATATATTTACATATACATACATATATATGTGTGTGTGCTAATATTAGCATTTCTACTGTACTCTGTAATTTAGGCTTAAGTCTGCCAAAGACAACTTTGCTTTATCTATATATGCAAATCATTTCCAGCTTGGAGAAAGATGTCCATACTAGCATGGTCCCCTATGTCCTCCAACACGAGTTCCCCAAGATGATTTCAGGTAACATTTATAGAAATATTAGAAAAAGAAATGTTTAAAATATGTAAAAACAGTTTAGGTTAGAGTTCTAGAATTCTTTATAAGGAATTATTTCGTTACTAATCTTTTGTACCTCTTTTTCTGTTTGGCCAATTCTGCTTTTTATAGAGTTCTCATCAGTGAATTTTTGGGCCTCTTTTGCCATTTGACTAATACTGTTTTTAAGGTATTATTTTCTTCAGTATTTCTGGTGCCTCTTTTATCAAGCTATTGACTCTCTTTTCGTATTTTTCTTATATCACTCTCATTTCTTTTCCCAATTTTACCTCTACCTCTCTTATTTGATTTTTAAAATCCTTTTTAAGCTCTTCCAGTTATTCTTGTTGGGCTTGTATCCAATTCCCATTTTTCTTTGTGTCTTTGCTCATAGTTGCTTTGATATTGTCGTCTTCTTCTGGGTTGGTGTCTTGATCTTCCCTGACATCATAGTAATTTATTACAGTCAGGTTCTTTTTGTTATTGTTTGCTCATTTTCTAGCCTACTTGATTTTTAACTTTATGTTAAAGTTGAGCTCTGTTCCCAGAGTGGAGGAGGCACTGTCCTAAGCTTCAGGCCTTTCTTGATGTTTACAGAGCAGGCTCTGGAAATCTATAGGTTTTCTATGGTGGTATGATCTAGGGAGTGGTGTAGTTGCTTCTCTCTTCTGGTCTTTACCCAGGGAGAAACCTTGTTCTCTTGTTGCCACCAATGGTATCATTCCTCCTGGCCCTGGGATTGTGACTAGTTTGTGACCAGTTCTCCCACTCTCCTGCAGCCACAATTGCTAGTGCTCCCCTCTGTCTTGGTCCCTACTTCCCTGTAAGCAACCCCAAGGACTCTTCTCTGCCCTGGAACCACAATGAGCGCGCCTAATCGCCTTGCTTCCCTTTGGCTCTGGGACTGTGACCCTGAACTGCATATGGGCAATGCAACAGGGTTCTGAACCTAGAGCAAGCAAAGGGCCCCCTGTAATATCCTTTCAACCAGTTGTTCAAACCATGCCTCCCCCACCCCACATCCTGGTCCATGGACTGAAAGCTCCCAAAGCTACTGCCAACACCAATACAGCCACCTCCATGGCCCACTGTTGGCAGGGTGGCATGGCCTATGCCCTGACCTCTGCACTGTGCTTCAGACTCGACCACCACCCCTGTGAGACAGACCTTTTCTGCCAACCTCCTAAGTTGTGTTGGCTGGAAAATTGTTTCACCCAACCTTTTGGTGGTTTTGTCTCTCCAGAATTCAATTTGAGACATTATTTTAGAATTGTCTGGAGGAGAATTTGGAAGACCTCAGCTGAGAGCTTCTCTATTCTGCCTTCTTGGCTCTGCCTCTTCCATCTAGAGTTCTTAAGTAAGCAATTTGCCATCCTTCTGAACTTCTCCTCTCCTTCCTGTAGTTAAACAAAAGAACCTCTTTCTTTTCTTTATCAAGAAGGGCAGATCCTATCACATTACTAAAGGTGGATAGGGAGGCAATGATGTGAAACAGACAAGAATTACTCTGAATTAAAGTAATTAACCTAGTTCCCTAAGAAAATCCTTTTCACTCAACCTATCATTCACCTTTCCATGTGGATTATCTAAGGATTTTGGAAAAGGTTTTAGAAAAAATATTATTTCTTAATATTTCCAGAGAAACTAAAAATGAGTTTTTTAATATGCTTCCACATCTCATAAGCAGCTGAATAGTACAAATTTCACATTGGCAGACACATGAGGTTTCTGAATTGAATATTTTCCTTTTATTCAAGATGACTCCTGTGTCACAAAGCTGAATTTTTAAATATAGTTGGGACATTTTTCAGGTGCTAGAATTGCTGTGTTCCTGTTGATGCTGTTATTTCAAATTCATGTCTATATGTATGTGCCAAGAGCTGTGAAGGTGGTACGTCTAATACCTAACCAGATGTTGTGTTATTTATCTTAAAATTTTCTCCTTAACTATTATACTGCTGAAAGACAAGTCAAGATCAGTCCAGAGAACAAAGATATAGGGCCCTAAAGATTGTGTCAATCTGGTTAACAGTCAGTTTGAAGAAAATAAATCAGTAAAAATTCCTTTATTAAGAGTACTTTATTTTATTCATTTATTCATGATTTATTTATTTGCATTTGACTACAGAAATAGACCTGCAGGGCTTGGTAAATAGAAAGCTTGGACTTGGATTTGGAAAGATTTGGTTTCAAGTCCCATCTCTGATGGCTTCAAGAAAGTCAACTGCATGCGTTAGACAGCTATTTAAGACTAAGTTTCAGAGAAGATGCCTACCTGCATTGATAAATATGGAGAATTTTCTCATCTGAGTATTATCTATGCCAATGAAATCACAAATCCAGTATCACCCCTTATCCATGATGGTTGACATATACATTCATAAAAAGATCGTCCTTCATTCTTTTGAGTTAATGGAAAGGTGTTTCGAGATCTGGATCCCAGATTTCAAGTACTTGACCATCATATCCTTATTTCTTTTTTCAAGAAAATGTTTCCTTGGGGCAGCTAGGTGGCAGAGTGGATAGAGCACTGGCCCTATAGTCAGGAGGGTCTGCCTTCAAATCCGGCCTCAGACATGTAACACTTATGAGCTGTGTGACTTTGGAGAAATCACTTAACCCCAATTGCCTCACCAAAAAAAAAAGTTTCCCTTTTGATCTACCATCTCAAAATACTTTATCATCCAACAGAACTAGAGAAAAACCTATGATATCTGAGCCTGAAATGATATTTGTCTTGGTGTATCAGGACCTTGTGAAATAAATTTCAATTTGCTTCATTTTAATACTTTCCCCCATTGCAGAGGTGTGACATTTGTTTCTTTGTTTCCTTGAAAAAATAGAAGTATCTCTTTAAAAAAATTGCCTATCCTTATTTACCAACAGGAAATATCCTAGAACATTATGAAACAAGAAAAAGCTGTAGTATCCATTTTTAAACTAAATAAGGTTCTTTTATTTGCACCAAAAACAATTTCATCAGCAAATTTTATAAAATCATAGAATTCCACAGTTGGAAGGGACTTTGGAGATTATCTAATCCAACTCTCACCAAATGCATTAATCCTAATGGTAGCATTCCCTCAAAAAGATCACCCAGCTTCATCTTGAAGACCTAGAATGGTAAAAAAAAAAAAAATTTAAATGTGAATTAGCTCCTTGCCTTTGAGGAGTTTACAGTCTAGAATGGGAGAAAAAGATTTATGTATACAAATAATTATACCATAATGTAGAATATGACAAGGGCACATTAAGTGCTATGAATTCTAGTCAGGCAGTGAGCACTGCTAGAGGATGAGATGCTGAAAATAAAGATTGAGCTCTAATCTGAGATGAGTAGGATTTCAAGGCAAAGATAAGGGGAAAAGAAGAGATTCTGGACATAGGGAATAGCTATCTGTCACTCTTCTCCCATTCTTTCCCTCCTTTCTTCTCGTCTCCAGATTACCAGGAAAATGGCAAAAGGACTGGGTAGAAATTACAAATTGAAATATTTATCTTGAAGATTAGCTTAGTCTATCTTGATACCAAAAACCTTACTACCTGTCCCTAAAAGATTTTGTGTTTATTTTCAGTTGTTTTCAATCCTGTTTGACCCTTTGTGACCCATTTGGAGTTTTCTTGGCCAAGATACTGGAGTGGTTTGCCATTTCCCTCTCCAGCTCATTTTACAGATAAGGAACTGAGGCAAACGGGGTTAAGTGACTTGCTGAGGGTCACACAGCTAATAAGTGTGTGAGGCCAGATTTGAACTCAGGAAAATGAGTCTTCCTGACTCCAGGCCCTGCCCTCCATCCACTGTCTTTTGTGGTGCTTAGGAACCCTTTAGAGAAGGACTTTCCTTTAGGGTACTAGCTGAAATCCTATTTGACAGAAGTGTTATTTGTCTGATTTTGCTAGGAGCTTCAGAATTGATAAGTAAGCTGCTGGCTGAAAGAGCACTAAGAGATGAGTACATGAGCTATTTTTCAATTTCACCCACCAAGCCCTTGTTAAGTATGTTCTATGTGTTAGATAGTGTGCTAGGTGCCCAAGATGCAATGGCAAAAATGAACAATGTGTTTTGCATGCAAGTATAATAGCAAGAGGGACAGTGAATATAATAATAGCTAACATTTATATACTATGTGCTCTATAGCTAAGTGTGCTAAGAACTGTGCTAAGCACCTTGCAATTATCTCCTTTGATCTTCCTGACAACCCTGGGAGCTAAGTGCTAATTGTTATCACCATTTCCCAGATGAGAAAACTGAGGTAAACAAAAGTTAAGTGACTTGCCTAGGGCCACACAGCTAGTAAGTATCTGAGGCAGAATTCTTACTCATTTCTTACTGACTATAGGATGGCACTGAATAACTACCTAGCTGAATAAAATAAGTGACAAACCATTTATTAAACACTTACTCTGGGCAAAGCACCATGATCTTCTTTTCCCATAGTTTATGTTTCCTTCGCCCAGAGATTTTTTCGGACAATTAAATAAACTGATGAGTGGAAGACGTTTGGGAGACAGAAGAGAGTATTCTCCCTTTCTCATTAGACTTTTCTTGTCCTTTCACAGTGTGGCGACAGAATTTTCTTTGTAAATAAATTTTGTTGACATCTTTTGCTTTAATATTGCCTAATATCTCCCCTATATCCTTCCTCATTCTCCCTCCCAAAAAGCAATTCCACATAACAAAGCATTTTTTTCAATTAAAAAAAAGAAAAAGAGAAAGAGAATAAAAATCAACAAAATCTACAGATAGATTAAAAAAGATTGAAAGTATATGCAGTGGTCCATATATATGGGCTTCCCACCTCCCTTAAGAAGTAAGGGAAAGTTTCTTTGCATATCTTTTCTTTGACCATGTTTGAAGAACACAGTCTTTCTTGAAGAAAGTCTTTGGATGACATAATGCTGTTGAACCTTAAATTAAGAATATTCCTCAAAATACACATTTTACAGTTGGATTAGACCTTCTTTCAGGTATATCTGTATTTTATTAAATTTATATTTTATTTAATGATTATTAAAAACAGAACCATACCCAAAATTATTATTTTAATTTGGCATATCTCCCATTTTTCAGTTGGGAAAAAAACCTATCACTGAAAGTTGAGTTTAAAGTTAACAACAGATTTTAGGTCAAAAGGAGAAAAAAATACCACATGGGACAAATTAAAATATTCCCAGACCTTTGGCTATGAGGTTAGAATTACCACATGACAGACTGAATAAATATGATATACTTAATTTGTCCACCCTCTCCTCAACTTTGTGTTGTGGTCATGGAAATATAAAAATGCTAAGTAGTTTGTGTAAATCAAACCTTACCTCACACTCCTCACACAGGATAAGAAGAAAAAAAAACTTGTCATCATTATTTGGATGAGTATTTTACATTCACCCATTTAACTGGAAAAAAAAAACCCTGATATTTGATTCATATTTTAATTAACACAGTTATTCAGAAACTGATTATATAGTTTGTAGACCACATATTCTTTTTTTGCCCAACTCTTTTTTTTTAGTAGTTCACTGCTTATTAATTACTAAAAGATGAGAAGAAAGTAGTTCTTTTCATAGCTAAATAAAAGGCATGGTAAGAAAGCAATAGGACAGGTAAATGTTGCAGTGAATAAAGCACTGGGCCTGGAGTCAGGAAGACTCATCTTTCTGAGTTCAAATCCAGCCTCAGACATTTACCAGCTGTATGACCCTAGGCAAGTCACTCAACCCTGTTTACCTCAGTTTTCTCATCAAAAATGAGCTGGAGAAGGAAATGGCAAACCACTCCAGTTTCTTTGCCAAGAAAATCCCAAATTGGGTCGTGTAGAGTTGGACATGACAGAACAACAAAATAAATATATTCTTTTTAGACTTGCTTCGTCTTTCCTGACTGTGAAAGGTTTTTTGTTTTTGTTTTTGTTTTGGGTTTTTTCTTTATCTCAATCTTGTTATCTAATAATTAGGAGTTTTCAAAAATCAAAATTTTATTATCCTGCTACCTCTGTTTCTCATTCCTATAGATATCTGAGAGTTAATCACAAATTCCTAAGGAATTTTCCATAGTAGCAATTGTTTGCACCCTTAGAAGGATCACTGCAAGGGCATTTAGGAGTTTGCATTGCATCAAAATGTACTTGTGGGCATAGTAGACAGAAAACTGATGATCTTCCCTACTCATGCCAGGTACAGAGGAGACATTTTCCAGCTCCCTCTCTCTGGAGAGTTTTAACTTTAAATATGCACAAGTTTTGAACTCCACGTTGGATCTAAGGTTTTATCAGATCATTTCTCATTCTGAAACCTTGTGGTGGGCGTCTCTTCCAAGAATTCCTTTTTAAAATTTGCCCCTGCCCTGCCATTTGTCTTATGTATTAATGATAGCCCATTTTATGTAACACTTTCCATTACAAAACATTTTCCCATCCATTATCTGAGTTCAATAACTATTTATTGCTATGGGGATCAACATCCTTGTAAGTTCCTTGAAAAGGGACTGGCTTGTTTGTTTGTATTTCTATCCCCAGTGCTTAGGACAGTGATGTCTGGTACACAGGCAGTGTTTAATAATTACTCAACTTATCTCTCTTTCTATGTGGTGAAGGTAAATACTATTATTCCTGCTTTACAGATAAGGAAATTGGTTTTCAGGGGGGTTAGTAATACTATAATAACTCTTGACATTTATATGACATTTTAAAGATTGCAAAAGGACTTTACATACATGATCTCATTTGAGGTTAAGGGACTTGCCCAAAGCCTCGTGATGAAGCATGATTCAAGCCAGGTCTTTAGACAACCAGCCCAGGACTCTTTCTATTATACCAGCTGCCTTTCATCATTTATGTCTCATGAGCAAAGCAAAGGATATATTTGACAACACCCCTTATTTCCTGAGAAAAAAATTACATTTATTTCTTTAAAATTGCCTGTGGTAGAAACCAGTTGTCACAATTGCAATGATTTAAGCCTCTGCATTTAAACTTAGATTCCTTCATCCTCTGACCATGTTCTTTCCTTCCTTTGACACCTTGCATACCTTGAGGCCCTGGAGTCAGGAGGACCTGAGTTCAAATCCATAACGCTCACTACATGTGTGATTCTGGGCAAGTCACTTAACCCCAATTGCCTCACCGAAAAAAAAAATATGGTGTTAAGAAGGAAGTTCTGCCTTACCCTTTGCCTGGATGTAAGGCCATCTCTAATGTAGAAAGAGGTCATCCTATCTCATTAGAGTCTATCTACAATACTAATGACCTTTCTATGCAAACTGGCCCATTTCACTGCTCACCATATTGAGTAGTGAGTGTGGCACTGTACTGAATGTGTTGGTTAAATTAAGCCTGGTCACTCCACATATTTTCTTATCTAGATAGAGCGCCAGTTCTGAAGTCAGGAAGACCTGAGTTCAAATCTGGCCTCAGATACTTACTACCTGTGTGATTCTGGGAAAGTCACTTAACCTCTCTTTGCCTTGGTTTCCTCATCCCTAAAACGGGGATAATAATATACACCTGCTTCCCAGGGTTGTTGTGAGGATCAAATGAGATCATAATTGTAAAGCACATTCATAGCACAGTGCCCAGAACATAGTAAGCACTACATAAATGTTAGTTTCTGCTACTATTACTTAACCTCTCTTTGTCTCAGTTTCATCAGATGTAAGATGGGAATAATAATAGCACCTACCTTACAGGGTTGTCAAAGCAGTCCCTGACGTTAAAAAAAAAAAAAGTTAAGAGCCCTTGACCAAGGGGATTTAGCAGATTGCAGGCTTGAGACAAGGGAAGCTTGGGATTCAGAAGGCAAATAAAAAAAAAAGTTAATCAGATCTTAATTTACATTTGTAGAAACATATCGTCCAAAACAAGGGATATCATGTTTCTTTCAATGTAAATGTATTTGTAAAACGCTTAGCACAATATGTGGCACATTTTTTGTTGTTATTCAGTCATGTCCAACTCTTCATGACCCCATTTGAGGTTTTCTTGGCAAGGATACTGGAGTGGTTTGCCATTTTCTTCTCCTTGTTCATTTTTCAGATGAGAAAACTGTGGCAAACAGGGTTAAATGACTTGCGTAGGGTCTCACAACTAGTAAATATCTGCAGTCAAATTTGAACTCAGG